ACTAAATGTGAGAACGATACACTGCACATAGTGGGACGTTTCAGCTGTCTTGTTTAGTTTTTGAACAAAACAAACGAAGAAGACAAAGATATCCTAGGGTCCATTTGGTATCTGCGAGTGATGGCCAGCAAGACTGAGTTCGCCCTCACAGCAATCACAAACGCATAGCTACCCGAACAAACTGCGTCCTTGTTGTGACAAAATTAATATGGCCTTAAAGTCCCTTTATATTTGGCGAAAGGGTCATTGCTCTCACAGCAAATCATAGGCACGTATTCTCAACATTAGGTCTCCAGAAACGACTCTGCTTGAAGGCGCTTCTGAGATCATCCATACTGTGTTTTACTTCAAAGAATTCTTCTTTACTGCAAACGTCACATCCGTAATAGAGCCTTTGGTAAAAAGTTTTGGTTAATCACACGGCAATCCGTTACGCTGCATCCTTTCGACTGTTATTCTCTGGTGGATGCCGAGATAAACAGAAGCCTTGAAAATGTGCACGGCTCCTTTAAGTTTTCTTTTAATTTATTTTTACTTCTCCTTGATCAGCAAAAGGTCGAAATCTATGCATAGACCCAAATTTTATTTGAGAATATCCCTACCTGTCCACTAAATCAATCCCAAAATTATCAACAATGTTTAAAATTAATTTTTGGACAGCACAGTAACTCACATATGTGCATGATCTTCGGAATGAAGAAACGACAATTACCAGTTCGCTCATTGTTCAGAACTTTTGACCTCCACGAGGCAAGCCAGTGTTTTATCTGCTATCACGAAACCAGTTTAGCCAAGGTTAGCAAATAAGTGAAACAAGCATTTGCTGCGAAAAATCCCAGAAAAATCTGTTTGCGTGCCGCGGGCAATGTAGGATTTCACTCGCAATAATGATGACAGACGATAAAAGCAGTAAAAGATTTGCTGTTGAAATAATTGTCCTTGCTCGTCAAACACGATGGTATGGTAGGTGGACTCAAGTAAGGCGCACAAAGTGACGTCGCAACTCAAAATCGTTATCAAAACGGCCGTCAATTTTGTCAGACTTCGGAGTATGAGGTTAGTCGGAAAAGGTACCCCACAAGTTGTTACGTTCGAGGAAATGACCGAGAACGGTGACCGAGTGCTAACATCTTGGTGTTTACGTGTGTGTCACTACAAAATCGTTTGACCCACGGGAAGTCCCTGGCGAATAGATTCGGAGGTACCGGTACTCGGTTCTCTGTAGACGGTGATCTTCCACATGACAGAGTGCACTACACTGGCTGACAGTGCGTTTTTCTTCCACCGAATAATTTGACGAAAACTTAGCTGGCCCTTCATACCTTGTTTTCAAGTGTGACCTGCCAAGAACACTTGGATAGTGGGAACTCGTTTCGTCAAAGCTCACAAAGATACCGCGTGAAGCGAACATCGGCCCTGTCATGAGGTTGACCAAGAGCCATTTATAAATAGGTTGGAAATGCAAACGTAGAAGATACAGTGTTCAAATACGCAAACGGGACAAAATGTAAAGCGATGATAGTGGCAAATGAACAAAAAGTGTTTGAATCCAGGAAGGCCACTGGTGATCCTGCATCTGGAAGGCGATTCATAGATTGGCAAGTTTTATGCAACCTTGAATACCCTGCTCACTTGATGCTTGAGGATAGAGTAGAAACGTGATATTATTTGGAGGGAAAACCGAGGACTAGTCTCGCACGCGTAGCGATAATGACCTTAAACACTGAAGTCAATGCTCCGGGCATTTTTTACGGCTGCAACGGCGCTGGTTTAGCGGCTTTTGTGTCCAAAAAACTTGTCTCCCAGGGACCATACAGTGGTTAAAATGCTTTTAAAGGTTGAAAAATATATGAGATGGCAAGCGAACCTTATCCATACATAGTTATGTTTGAAGTTACTTATGTGAGCACTGATATTATGCTCTTTTCCATCCTTGATTTTCACCTTATTCAACTGAATGAATCCATGCGCTTTATGTGCGGCCCCAGGCAATTTGCATAGCCCACAAAATAATGCTGACGAGTTGCATTTACCAGCGGATAAATCGCATTTCATTTGCATTCTGCGCTGTGCATAACCTTCCAACGATGTGTCATGTCGGAAGTGCAATATTTTTAACACAGTTTCCACCTGGTTCAAGCACGCTTAACTAAAGACCACCTATGGAGCAAATTTCTACTGGAAAAAATGCAACCCGGGCATCCAAAAAGTATATTTTGAAGAACGGCAGCACAGCAGCACACCGAAGTAACGTTCAGTATGAGTATCAGTCTTGTACAGAGGTGCAAAGGTATCAGGTGATTTCGCAGCAGAAAGGCATAAAAATCAAGCACTTGAGCAGGAAGACTATAAATAAGCTGCCTTCAAATCACCATTGTTCGTATATCTTGAACTGTTCACCACTGCTTATAAATTACTGGATACGATACTGGATCTAGCCTCTCTTCAGCAAGTACACTAGTCGACAAGTCAATCACTTTACCAAGCAAAACTTACCCAATATGTTCTTGGTCCACACATCGTGACACTAGTGATTTGAAATATCGTGAACTACTGAGAAGTGATGGTCTAAACATTCATTCTTTGTGGACAGAACGTTTGGCTGCGTTGGATCCCATTTCGAAATGATCACACACTAGGCATAAATATCACCAACGTGTTAACCGGCAACTTTCAGAATAATTGTCTGCTATGCAGCCGCGAACAATGAGCAGCTCGCACTGGATCCGTCTTTGACCCATGAACAGTAGTGCTGGCAATGAATCGGAGGATAGGCTTATGTGAATCACATTGGGATCAAACGTACAGAGTAACAGTTAACCCGTTATTCATCGTAATCGTAGTCAATTTGAACAACATAGAAGGCCAATTTTAAAACAAGCACTGAACTCCGGTGCTATGCGGTGACAAACGAAAATAGTTCAAATGCTCTATACCCCTACTTAGACGTTAAGTAATTCTGAGGACGCCAATATGCGGCTGCTCGCCGGTATTATTAGAAATCAGCTTCTTACACTAAGCAAAATACCACGTTGCTGATGCAGGTTTCCCGAGATATTTCACAGCTAACAATGGCATAAATCAAATTTTACTTTGATATCCTCAATTTAGCCCCTTTCAAAATTTGCGCAAACGCATTTTCAGGCACTTCTGAGCTTCATTTGCCTATTCTCATCACCCTAAGCCCTGTTATCCTTGAGCGGATACAGTACAACTTTCAAGGACCAGTATATCGGGTCAGTCCTCCAGGCTGATGAAAACTTGGAGCTTCTACGTCGACGTTTACGGGAGGAAGCTTGCCGATGTTCATAACTATCCCTTGTCAAATTGATTCCGCTCGTCAGGAGAAGGATTAGGTCGTTAGGCCACACATAAGATGAGCACACCTAAAAAGCTAATTCTTGGGCACAAAGCACCATGAACACTGAAATCCTCACCGAGCTAAACAATATCTCTTCACCCAAATTGTGGGTGGTTAAGTTGAAAACGGTCGTTAGCCTGCGGCGGTTTATGTGATTATAAAATGGTCCTAGATAAAATTGATTCATAACAATTATCTTGAAGGACATGGATTATGGACTCGACGCCTATTTCTTTCTACAGCATGACTTCCTGTCTAGCATGAATTTACGTGTGCTGCCCATGTTCTTTAACTGCGGTATTTAGGTTAAAGTCGTTGGATCCCATTCTAATTAAGATTTTGTGGACACCTCAATGGAACCATGGAGCGTTTATGGCCACTGTATATATGCGTGGAACCAGAAAATTCACTAAACGGCAGTTTCCACAAATGAGTTGTTGAAGTCTTTCAAGGGTCCCCGGAATGATACACAAAATCCAGAAGCTCGCGCATACCGCCAGGGTCGTATTACTCAACATCGACTAGCAAATTTCCCTCATCTAACAAGCACAAAATAATGGAGAACCGACTGGTATATTTCCTTGCTTTAGACACCAAGCTTGGTTGCGCAAAGACGCATAACGACTAACCCAATGGTAATCTTAAATGAGTCGTGGACGACACCAAAAGAGGTCAGAGGGAGGCTATTCCACACAGCAAGCGCTTGAAATGCAGATGAACGCCGTCCAACACTGGTAGCTAAATTTTTTGAAATATTTTAACATTCAAAAGAAAGAATTAGTAGCGTCAGTGCAAAAGGCTTATCGACGTAAGTACGCTTAGACATTCAATAATTGATAAGATCATAATAATAACTTCTTTTTGGTGAAATGCGCTAAAAGAACCCCAAGAAATGCATCATTTTCAGCGAATTCCAAGCCTGCAAATAACTTGCTGCAAACAACCTCGGGTCCATTGTTTATGAAATCGTCCCGGTTTGCGCTATCCCCAGTAGCAGCAAATTACCCCGTCATGCTCTATTTTGACTGCAAATGGATGATCATGCCTGAGTATATGCCGCGCACGATTTGGAAAAATCTGTTACTATTTTTATTATTAAGTTCGTTTCACATTCTGAGTAGGCCACCTGTTTATCATATTCAACAAGCGATCTGAGGTATTCTTAATTCAGCATCTGAAAGCTGTCAGTTCATTTCGTGTCCCAAGGAGCAAGCTGAACTTATACCTCAGCCAATAATTTGGAGGACCAGTAGGCTGGTTTGCCCGACATGTAACCATTGACTAGAGAGATATTAGTACCACACGGACGCAGTGGGATCAGTGGGTCATGAAGTTCTAGAAACTGCCACAAAATGACCAGCTTTAGTCAAATCATGTTGGTTCGCGACGTGGAAGTGTTTGAATAGGCCTGTCAATCAGACACGATGGTTGCTCCAATTAGGTCTTTGGGCGGGTGTCCGCTGCTTCCAACTTCCTACATAACACTATAGGCTTCCGGTAAATAAATGCATGGATTATTGTTTAAGCAGCCCAATTAACTCGCGCGCTCTTCATATCCCTTTCCCGGTTCACCACCAACTGCTCACGGTATAGCCGTTGTTTGTTACCAAGACTGCTAACGTGTGTAGCTTGTATTTACTTCATAAGCTTTTGTGAAATGAAACACATCTGTTATTCCGATTGTTTGCGCCATGTGTTCCCTGCCCGTGATTAGGTGTTCGTGATACATTCTGTTCTCCGCGGTTTCTGGCAAAATCCTTATAGATCAGAAAAGGCGCGGCCAGATGGTCGGATTTCTTTCTTCAGCTCATTTAGTACGGCCTTCAGACAAAAAACGCTGGTCAAAAAAGTTGAGCTTCGCCGCATAAGCAATATCAGTAGCGACAAGAACACTGACTATTGAAGAATGTTACACATAACTGACTTCCTTAATTGGTAAAAACGGCCACATCGTTCAACCAAATGAGTCAAAGCACACTTGTTCATGAATGGTCTACAGACCTTGCTACAAACCGAATGTTCAGTCGACAAACTAGTAACGCAGCTCATTCGGCACGGTATATGTTAAGAAGCCTAAAATTTTCAGGTGAACCTAGCTTCCAAATGACAAAAAACTATTGTACTCTGCTAAGGAGGGTAGAAGTGTCCTGGTGGGTCGTTTCCTGATGGGTCTATGAGTGCTTATGCCGCATGCATACAGGCAAACACTGAAAGGAACATTGTTCGAAATTACCCAGTTTTGAAAATTGTGCACAGGAGTAGACCTGGGAGATGCTCAGATTAGTTGATCGTTTCAAAACCTTAGATTATAATTTGAGCATTCATTGTGTTGAGTAAGCGATTCAACTAGCACGCGTTCATTCGTTTGAATATTTGGCGAAACGCTGACTGTTGGACGCTGTTCGGTTGTCGTTCGAGTGAAGGCCTCGAAGTGGGCAAACCTGAGGGCTACAACCGTGCTTAGAATATCATATCGTGACTTGCCAAAATTTCTAACATTTGCGCTGGCACTGCAGAAGTATGTAAATACCAGCCAGTGGTTGTATGTGCTAATTTGGAAGCTGGTTTCGCCATAATGACAAGCTTTCAAGGGACTGACGCAGATGAACCAAAATTATTCCTCACGGGTTTCCGCAGGGCACTGGTGTCGGCGCGTTAGTGATTATTGCCAAATCTTCATGGGATTAGAGATGGTGAACTGATGAGCCGCAACGTCGCAACCTCAAGAAAAAGAGATGAGATATACGCTGGACAAAGGCCATCACGTATTCACGGATTGATACACAGGATCGAGGCTATTGCCCAAGTTTCCCGGGTTGGTTTTGTTCTTGTTGGTCAGTGCTGTCGTTCACCTGAAA